CCCCAAAACCCCAAAACCCCAAAACCCCAAAACCCCAAAACCCCGACTAACTCCCAGTTAATTGAGTTATTTAAAAGTGTGGCTGTTAACGTTCTAATTATGCTGTGTATACATCACTGGCTGGCTTCTTGACACCTGTTCTACAGAAAGAGTTAGACTAGAGGCTTAAGCCAAGGACTCAATCAAAGAGACATGTCGGCTGCTAGAAAATGGAACTTGGCAGCAAGACTTAAAGGAAGTAGCATAGCCAAGATTAATAAGATTAGGGAATTTTTGGGCTTACCAATACTATAAGTGTATTCAGTGTTGTATGTTGGGGTGTTAATTGGAATAGCAGATTTGGTATTCATAGCTTGAGGGACAGCATTTTGTCTCTGTTTCACCATTATTGGTGTCACTTTGAATAGATTGTATTCTTTCTTGCAAGAAGGAGTAGGAGAAATTAAATCTCATTCTTCTTCAATGATGTAGGTGGAAGACTGATGTTCTACAGTTACTGGCATATTCTGCTCATTGTTGTTTGAATTGTACATATCTATTCTTGGTGACAGGTAATTTCCTTGATTTTTGTTATAATAATCATATTTTTGAGGATTTCTGTTGTTCGTGTAAGACTCAAAGCTTCTTGACTTTGCTATAGGCATATTAGATGAAACTTTTTAGATAATTACCTGGACCATAAGAGTCTGCATAGATATTTCCCCTATATTCAAGTTGATTTCCAGAACTGGAAGAGTATCCGCTTGATATATTTCTGCCTCCATAATATCCAGTGTCATACTCTCCATTTCCATTGTTAACGATCAAATTATTTCCAGTATTTGCATATTTAGTACTATAAGAGTTGTCTCCATAATTATAAGTGTAAGAATAGCCTGAGTTTTGCTTTGCCTTAATGAAGTACACAGAATCATCAGTTGGAGCTCTTCCGCCATACTGTCTAAAGATATCATTTGCTCTAAGTTCGTTTTGAATCCAGCCAATGTCTCCTCTACCAGTTTGGTCATGATTGTACTCTTTCTTCAGAGAGCATCCGAATAGAGGGACTACTTTGGTCAAACTCCTGCATTGGCTTCCTCTAATCTGTGCTTTCTTATGGTAGTCTTCAAAGCCAGCTTCGACTGCATCTAAATTTCCGTAGTAAAGCCTTGAGCAAACATAATGCTTGAATTCTTCAAGAGGGATCCTTCCGTCTTTTGAGATGGATCTCACGAGCTCATTGTTTTTATAGATCTTTACGAACCACTCTCCTGCTTCTTGGTATAGTTCAAAGGTAAGCTGATCTCCCCATCCCGGGTTGTAAGTAATCTCATCATCCAAATTAAGAGTCCTCAATGCTGCTAGGTATGTTAACCTATTTCCAAATGCCAAGGATACTTTGCTTGTAACACAAGGTCCTTCCCATCGTGAGATTTCTGTCAAATCTTGAGCCTTAAAGAGGATCTCCCTCAACAAGGAATACAAAAAGGGATGAGAGATCACCTTGTTGAGGGAAGGATCTCTTAACAAGCCATGATGAATCAAATAGTAATAGTATGTTTCTATCAAATCCATCATATCCTCATTAAAATCAAATGGAGTCGTTGCTTTTCCGTTAGCAAATGCGCAAATGTAATCATCCAAGAATTGAGCGACACTATCAAATGAAATTTCTTCGATATTTCTTCCCATTAGGAATGATAACCTTTTGTAGAGTCTTTCACCGTACTTGGTCTCGAATTCAGAGGCTGCTTGCTTAAGGTTATAGTTGAAATCGTCTTGCAAGCCAGGATACATCTTCTTTATATCTCTGAAAAAGAAACCATCTGCATTTCCTGTGTGAATATAAGCTGGCATAGCTTTTGCTTCAGCTCTATCGAGATATAAAGCCCTTCTTGCATCATCAATGTGATTATCCTTGAGAGGAGCTGAGTCATCTTTTTCCCTGACCAGGCCAAGCCCATCAAGTTGGCTAGGATGTCCCCCGAGCATAAAAGCATATGCACTCATAATGCCAGGATTGTCAGTGAAAGTCCTGATGAAATACTCAGAAGGCACATAGCGAGGTGAAAGGAAGTATGGGTGATCATTTGTGTAATAATCCCTAAACTTCTCACCTTGATTGAAGGCATTCCTGAGTCCAGTTAACGTTATCATATTTGGCTCCTGACCATAATTATTCTTTGTAATGTTATAGACCTGATCTCGGTACAAAGGAGTCCTCTCAGCAGCACTGTTATATTGAAACACGAATTCGAGTCTTTCTTTCGCCATCACTGCTCAGATTAGCAGAGAAAGGCATGCAACGACATTTAGTTTACTCATTGTTTGCAATCTAAATTTAAATTATCTTTCAGTTTAACTGTTTTTTAAGGGGTTTTGGGGTTTTGGGGTTTTGGGGTTTTGGGG